ATATTCTGTGTTCTATATTCTGTTATTCTATATTCTGTGTTATTCTATATTCTGTGTTATTCTATATTCTGTTATTCTATATTCTGTGTTCTATATTCTGTTATTCTATATTCTGTGTTCTATATTCTGTTATTCTATATTCTGTTATTCTATATTCTGTGTTCTATATTCTGTTATTCTATATTCTGTGTTATTCTATATTCTGTGTTATTCTATATTCTGTTATTCTATATTCTGTTATTCTATATTCTGTGTTATTCTATGTTCTGTTATTCTATATTCTGTTATTCTATATTCTGTTATTCTATATTCTGTTATTCTATATTCTGTTATTCTATATTCTGTGTTATTCTATATTCTGTTATTCTATATTCTGTGTTATTCTATACTGTTATTCTATATCTGCTATAAATATAGACTCTATATCTATAATTCTGTTACTCTATATTATATTCTAAAGTTATGATGGACCTGAAAAAAAAGTACTTGCGACCCATTTCTAAGTTTCAACAGCCACTGCCCCCGTCCCCCGCCTCCCGGCCCGGCAGCTATGTGGCTTCATTTGGGGTACTAGACCACTCACCATATTTAACAGAATTCCAGAGTTGGAAGGGACCTTGGAGGTCTTCTAGTCCAACTCCCTGCTCAAGCAGGAAATGCTATCCCATTTCTGGTATAGTAACTGTCTAGACTCTTCTTGAAAACCTCCAGTGTTGGAGGCATTCACAATTTCTGGAGGCCAGTTGTTCCAATGGTTAATTATTCTCACTGCCAGGAAATTTCTCCTCAATTCCAGGTTGCTTCTCTCCTTGATTAGTTTCCACCCATTGTTTCTGTCCTGTCTTGTCCTGTCCTCAGGTGGTCAGTGGTGAAATTCAAAAAATTTCCCTACCGGTTCTGTGGGCGTGGCTTGGTGATCATGTGACTGGGTAGGCGTGGCTTGGTGGTCATGTGACTGGGCAGGCAACAAGCAGGAACCTCACAGAGTCACAGAGACCTCAAAAACCAACAATCACACTTTGCACAAAAATAACACAAAAGCTACACAACTGACTCCACACACAATGCAAAAGCAGCTGGACTTCACACACACACAAAGATTCCGACGATCGCGCGGCACAGCTGATTGTTGCACATCATCACAACGTTTTTTATTATTTTTTAAAGCATTTTTTTAACGGTTTGGACAAACCAGAAGCATTTCACCCCTGCCGTGGCTGACTGGGTGGGCGTGGCCAGCCTGACTCCATTCCCCAAACTGCTGACATCTTCGCACTGGGTCAACGAGGCCGAAGCAATATGGTCCGGCCCCTTACAATTTCCAGGATTGGCCTGCGGGCCTGATCCAACCCCATCGTGGGCTGTATCCGGTCGGCGGCCTTATGTTTGACACACCCTCGTCACCTCTAGGCTCGATTACTGTAATGTGCTTTACATGGGGCTGTCCTTGAAAAGTGTTCGGAGACTACAGTTAGTCCAGAACGCAGCCGCATGAGCGAGTTTGGGTGTACCTAGATACACCCATATTACACCTATTCTCCGCGAGCTGCACTGGCTTCCGATCGGTCTCCGCACACACTTCAAGGTCCTGGTCATCACCTTTAAAGCCCTACGTGGCCTAGGACCTGGACACCACCTCCTGCCA